CATGTCCCTCATGGTTTTATAAATTTCTATAAGGTCACCCCTCAGCCTTCGATACACCAGTGAAAATAGCCCAAGCCTAATCAGCTACTCCCTATGGCTCAAACTCTCCAACTCTGGCAACATCCTCGTAAATCTTTTCTGAGCTTTTCAAGTTTCACAACATCCTTCCTATAGCAAGGAGACCAGGACTGCACACAGTATTCCAAAAGTTACCGAACTAATGTCCTGTACAGCTGCAACATGACCTCCCAACTCCTATACTCAATGCACTGACCAATAAAGGCAAGCATACCAAATGCCTTCTTCACTATCCTATCTACTTGTGACTCCATTTTCAAGGAACCCATTTCTCCTTTCAATTTTTAATGGCCGTTGGCATCACTGTTAAGACCAGCATTTGTTGCCCATCCCCAATTGCCCTTGAACTAAATAGCTTGACACGCCATTTCAGAGGACAGCTATGAATCAACATTGCCATGGATCTGAGTCACATTTAGATCAGAGTGATAGAGTCATACAGTGTGGAAACTGACACTTCAGTCCAACTATCAGTCAGTAAGGACAGTAGATTTCCTATTTTTACAATTAATGATGAAAATTTTCATGGCCACTGTCACTGAGACTTTTGAATTACACATTTTTTAAAAAATTCAATTGTTTTCAGGTTCTACAGTAGGATTTGAGCAAACAGAAAAATGGGACCCTGAAATATTAATCCAGTAAAGTCACCACTTCACTACCACAGAATCTGGATTCTAAATTTTCCCCTGACCATCATTGATACTTTTGGATTTTAGGTCTTGTGGGTGATGTGAACACTTACTGCATTTGAAAGAATTCGCTTAAGGCGATTATTTTTGCAGAGACCTTATCAATAAATTAGCTGGCAAAAATATTTCAGAAACACATTAATTATCTGTGTGCAATTTTTCCATCGGATAATTCCAAGGCCATTGAGTTCACAAAATACTGTTGGGGAACTTGAATATGATGTGATTGTATCAGTCAGCTTCTTCTGCTATACAGTGCCTAATGTCTTCGAGACCACAGCATTACACAAGCAGCGCAAACGCCTACTGTGTCATCTAATGCCCAAATTCCTCTTCAATCATCTCCAACCTATTGGCTTTCTGGTTCAACAGGGCTAAACAATTCCTATTCTATGATGCCTATTGTTTCCTGTTCCATAAATCTGATGGAATTGAAACTAGTTGAAAATCTATAGGAGGAATCCCAAGGCTAGACAGATTCCAGAATTCCCAAATTCATGCCCATATTCACTGTTTTAATGGAATAAAGAAGCAAACAAACAAATAGAGGTGGATTATGGATTATGGACAGATTAAGGATTGAACTGTACTGATCAAAGAGGCAGCTCCAAAAATAGTTTGCCTGATACATTAAGCTAAGTTTCAAGATGGCGGCGGTAGAGTAGAGAGCTTCCAGGCTCCCTGTCATCTGCTTTTTTCTTTTTTATTCTTCTTTCCTCGTTTTTCTTCTCTCTGTTTTAAAGATTTATTTTCGTGTTCTTTTTTCAAAAGCTGGAGTGGAGGCTCAGAGCATAGTGGGACAGCCAGTAGGCCGGAGGCCTGGAGCAGAGTGGGGACAGTTGTTGGACCGTAGTCAGGTGCAGGCAGTCAGAGGCTAATGAGCCCAGTCAGACCCCTTGCATTAATCTATTACAGGCCCTTTATGGAAACACTGTAATGTTTATCTTTTTTAGCTTTATTTCTTATTTTTCTAAATTATACTATGAATAACTGTAAGGTAATGTAACTCTTCTTCTATATTTCTCTATCTTATACTTAAGGTTCATACCTAGGTACTTTGTACCTAAGATGAAGCCATGTGGGACAACATTGTAAACTTTTCACTGCACTTCTTTACTCCTGTACTTAAATACATGTGACAATAAACCTATTTCTAATTCTAATCCAAAGAAGATGGCTAGTGGTCAATGCATGTCATCCCTCCTGTAAATTAAGTCACTGCTGCTGCAGCTTGAAACTAATTCTGTCAGGAGATCTACTGTCAAGGTGCACCATAATCTTCTATTTTACTCCATCCTCAAATATCAACAGGAGCTCATCAGCAACTGCTCTGTACCATTCATCTTCCAACCACGCCTAGATCAGGTTGCCATCTACTTTGCCCCCAGGGAGAGGCCTCTGTAACATATCAGCGCAGATCAAAAGACTGAAATACTGACATTTTATTTTCTGGATGTCACGTTTGTGAGACTCATTTCTGCTCTTGCAATTTCAATTACCTCTTCATTTGTCTCATGGTCAGTAAATGGAATTTTTCATCTACGTTTCATGATCCACATTTCAAAGGCCCCTACTTGTTTTCTACAGATCTCCACATATGGTCCAAATTTCTGAGGCAGACAGGAAAGTGTAACAGTGATATAAACACGGAAAATAAATGTCTTGGCCCAGATAATGGAACAGGCAATAGTAGTGACATCTAGTGGGAAAATTAAATGCTTAATTAAATCAGGTAATCAGAATATAATCTCATTGTCCCTTTGATAATTATTCCACTCTTATTTGCTTCACGCTTTTCCATGAACATCCTGTACAGCTGATATTGATGCTGACAGCTGGCAATATACACAGTGGAACAGTTTGGCTGCAGAGGGAAGGCGAGTCCTGCAGTATGATTGCTGAGGTTTCACAGACCTCAGCTGGCTTCAGTCTTTGATATATAGAACTCCAAATTGAAATGCTTGAATCAGACTGATGTCCCTATATATTAGGGACCAGATCGTATGAGTTGGAAATGCTCGGTTTTTTTTTCAGGCTAGGCTAGAATTGTAGGCAAGTGGTTATTTTCACATGAGGTTAATAGAGTATTCCAGTAGGTAAGGTTGTGGTGCATATAAATACAAAGAATGATTGAATTACAAATCTTGGCTTTCTTGTACTTTCTGAGTATTACCATGCACCTGTTTGATGTGAAACTATTGTGTACGTAATTTCAGTCTTTGCGATGAATATGAATTGCTCAAGCACTTTGGTCTTTGCGAATATGGTTCAGGATGATGGGTTTGAGTTCTGTTCATTTCTAATGTTGGATTTCAGTGGTTATCTGTTGGCTTCCTTCTGCAGTTGCTGAGTTAATCGGTTTTCTGTTAGTTTCAGATCAAGTTCGAATGGCTCTCCGGACTGGATCTGAGGTCCTCTGTGCTGGGTTTGAACGTGCTGAGCTTGCTGGATGCATGTGGTGCTGGATACACAAGTCACTGGATATATTTGGCACGGGAACTAGCACAGAGGTGTTTTCATCACCGTGTCTAACCCTCCCAGTGCACCTGCCAAGGAGAGTATTACCGTCTCACTGTCGCCACTATGGAGGGCATTATCACCTTAGTTTGCTCACTGAGGACATATTTACCCTCTCAGTCTCACCACCAGGGAGGGGACTGCCCTCTCAGTTTGATCACCAGAGGTTCATTACCCTCTCAATAGAGGGAGCATATTACAATCAGTGTGCTCACCAGGGTGTGGTGACTGTTCCAAATCACTGAGCAGAGTTTGCGAATGATAGGATATCTGGGCAATGCTGGGCAATGTGTGTTTGCAATGGATGCTCTAGATTCAGGGTCCATGTAAATTGGTGCTGCTGGGAGGGTATAGGTTGGAGCTGCTTTCTACTAGGCCTTTCAAAAACTTATCAGGATCAGAGTTCCATGTGCAGTTTCCTGTGGGTGTATTGCTGGATGTTGTTTGGCCTCTTTGTTGGGTGGGGTGAGTTTGGTTAGGCTGGTGCCATCTGTATGAGGGTGGTTGAGTACGGATTGTCTTGTAATAGTTTGGTTGGGTTTGTTTGACTTGCTTCGTGCTGGCTGCGAACACTTGCATTGGTTTGAGTGGTTGAGAGTTTGATGGCCCAGTGGTGATTACTTTGGGTTGAGTGGTCTTGGTTAGGTTTAGGTTTGTAATTGCTGATCATGTTGAAACTTGAGGTTTCAGTTGAGCAGGTATACTGAGTTAGCTGGGTTTACGTTGTCTTGTAGTGTGGATATTGATTGTATCATAGAGCCCCTACAGTATGGAAAGAGGCCATTCAGCCCATCGGGTCTGTGCCAACCCTCAGAAGAGCATCTGACCCAGACTTAGCACCCATCTTACTCTATCCCCTTGACCCCACATTACCTAACCCACCTAGCCTACACATCCCTGGACACCACGGGCAATTTAGCATGGTCAATCCACCCAACCTGCACATCTTTAGACTGTGGGAGGAAACTGGAGCACCCGGAGGAAACCCACACAGACACAGGGAGAACATGCAAACTCCACAGACAGTTACCCAAAGCTGGAATCGAACTCAGGTCATTGGCACAATGAGGTGGCAGCAGTAACCATTGAGCCTGAGACTGAGCGAGCTAGATTCCTCTCTGCGAAAGATGATTAGGTATGTTTGAGGTATGCTATCCTTAGCATCTATTGGATATGGGGGCATTTGTGTTTCCATTGCTGACTCTATTCAGCAGGTCGGTACTGGATGTGACAGATACAGTGCTGATAAGTTAATTTGAGTTAGGCAGGGGGCTGCTACCTTACCTTAGATTGATTGAATTTTCTGTTGCACCATTTTAAATAAATGATATTAACATCACCCTGGGTCAGTTTGCCTGAGCTGGGTAAGGGCAGAGACTGTAGGCTTGTCCAGTGCCAGGTTGGCACAGGGAAAGTGTGGGTGACTCTGGCACTGTGGTGTGCTTAGTGCTGGGTTTGATTGGTGTTCGTGGTGGGTGAGGAGCTGGTAGTGTGGGCGGGGTTGTCTCTGCTGGATCTGAATGACTCTCGGTGAGGAGATGGTGCTGAACCGAGGCAACAGCGGAGACAGGAGCAGGACAGCGGCGAGAGAGCAGTCACTCCGGGCGAGCAGAACCTGAGTCAGTCCGGGGAGAGAGACAGAGAGAGAGGGAGAGAGAGAGAGGAATCGCGAAGGGAGTGGAGGCAGCAATCTGCAAGGAACGGCGAGCGGAGAACGATCTTTCAGCCCTGGCTATGAGGCCAGTCTTCCCGCTGTTCATCGCCTTGCTCCTGCGGGAAGGTAAGAGGCTGGCAGGAGCTGATATACTCCCTGCTTTATTTAGCTCCAGTGCATGCCTTCTGTTGCTTTTTTTTGCGGCTGTGATTTGCGATCTTTGCTGTTGCTGCGAGCTGGGAGCTCTGACTGTGAACAGTGACAATAACTCCTTCTGTTGCCCTACCTGTTGTTGGGGTGGACGGTGTGTTTTGGGAAGAAAATGTTAGTTTTTTTTTAAATACTGCCAAGGCACCTGCTCAACAGGGAGTGTTTTACCCTCTCGCAGTGTCCCCGGGAAGGGGATTAACCTCTTAAAATGCATATCAGGGAGGGTATTATCCTCTCAATATGCCACTAGGGTCTATTACCATGGTCTGCCCAGCAGTAGGGTACAGTACCCTCTCAATATGCCCACTAGTGTTATATTACCATGTGTCTGCCCAGCAGTAGGGTATATTACTCTCTCAAATGCCCACTAGGGTCTATTACCATGGCCTGCCCAGCAGTAGGGTATATTACCCTCTCAATATGCCCACTATTGTTATATTACCATGTGTCTGCCCAGCAGTAAGGTATATTACCCTCTCAATATGCCCACTAGGGTATATTACCATGCGTCTGCCCAGCAGTAGGGTA